AGCGGATAAACAGCCGCGGAATATTTCGAAACGAACGATTTCGCGTTAATTAATAACGCGGAGATTGCTGCTCTCGCGCGATGAATTCGTCCAGTCCATGGAGTATCGTCTATTCTCGAAAGCGCGCGTTTTTCATTGTTATCGCGCTCACGCTTGAACGCTGCTCGTTAGCATGAAATTTCTGAAGGCTTGTACCGCCGTTTATCAAATTCGAGGCTTTTCCGCGAGCTTGATGTTTAAATAACGAGCGACCTACCGCGTAAAACAAAAACGGAGATGTCTGCTTCACCGCGAAGCGTTTTCGAAAATTAGGATACGCGCGCGAAATTCGTTTCACGATCGTCGAATTTAATCTTTCGTGCGCAAAGGAAGGAAAAATGACGACACGATCGTTTGAATAAATAATCCCAATTGAACGGGGACTTTTTTCCAAGAGGTGTACGAGTGTATGATCTATTTTCGTAATTACTTAGCTGAGAGAATCGAATGGAAGACGCGGTAGGAATGCAAATACGCGGAGGGTAATACCGAGGTGTCGACGGAATAGCAAAACTGTTTTAGCCGAAAAGCGAATTTTCGCAAGCACCTGGAATACAAAGAAAATGTCTGGATTGGGTTTTTTGGAAGTATGGGATGGCTGGAGGCGTCCTCTACGTGAGAGGAATCATACATTGACCTTTCATTCGTGCCATCCTCTCTCGTCCCCTAAATCCAACGCCAGGCCGCAGATGAAGCTTATCTTCTCTCGGTTTTTTCCCCGGGATGGGTATAGAGTGCACGCGTGGCGAGTTTCCATAAATCAGTCGATCACTTAGCTGTATTTGAAAGCTTCTCGAGAAAAAGAGAAAGAAAAAAGGGGAAACGTGGACGCGGACGGTGAATCTATTTAAACCGGAGAAAAAGCCACCTTGCAGAGGACTCCGCCGACGCATCCATCTTTCGTCAACGATTTTCAAAGAAGTTTCAATCTCCGCTGAATATGTAAGAGGAATATCAACAGCTGTTCGGACAGCCGCGACGAAAGTAACGATAGGAAGGAATTTGAATGCCGGCAGATTTTAATAAAACTTTCTCAATCTCCCGGCACGATAAGCAGCATAGCGAGGATCCCTCTATCCGATTTGTATTGCCAATGAAGCGAACGAAACGAGCGAAAAACTTCGCTGTCGTTCGTTCCAATGACTGCAGATACGACCTCGAACGGCTTTTTTCTTTCCCGATAAACCTACAACCCCCATAAAAGGCACAAACGTTTCCGCGAAATCACCCTGAACCGATCTGCCAGACTTCTCTCCCTCTTCCCACCGACATTCCCGCGTTCACCAAAAAATCCGCCTGAGATTTACGATCTCTATCCGTGTACTCCGTCCCGCGCAAGATTTTCCCGAGCAGCCCGCGAAAGGGTGTCTCATCCGCTCGATGTTTCGTCGTATTTCACGCTTCTTTCCAACGATAACATTTTCCCGAGTTCGAACTAGAGAAAAATAGTCAAAATCCAGGCCACGGTTGAAGAACGTCGCATTTTCTATCATTCTCCGGCTCGGATGTCGGTATCCGTTGGAGCCCAGAAATTCCTCAGAGCTTACGCGAGAAAATTGGAAACCCTTCGACTTCGTCCCTACTTTATTCGCGCGCCGTCGCCATTTCCCTGTGCTTTACAAATTCCACGAGAGCCAAAGTCGCCAAACGTAATCAAAGACTCGGAGGAAATTTCCCTCGATCCGTCTACCCTTCGTCCACGTACTTTCCTCGCGGGAAAGCGTCGGATCTCGGTGAATTTTCACCCCCTTCGGAAGGTATCGCACGTTTTCACGGGAAGACACGTTTTCTCTTTCAACGACGAGCGAGCCGGATCTTCGACGGATTTATCTCGCGGCAAATTTGGACGCCGAGTGTCCGCTTCGAGCAAGCCCGGGCAGAATTCCCGCGGAGTTGGTCCTTTAAATCGGACGAAGCCGAAAGTCAGCCAGGAATTTGCATTCGCGTAAACTCGTCTCGCGCCGCGGTCGCGATGTTTCGTTTAAGTGTGCGTTTACCTCGAATTTTCTTGTTCTCGACAGTCGAATCTTTTCAATTAACGACACACCAAGGGCGAGAAGGAATTCCGCGCTCGACGATTTCGAATCTGAGATGCTGGAAAATATCGGACTCGTTGTCGCGTTTCACCGTGGCGCGTTTAAATAGCTCGAAAAATGGGAAAAGCCGGAATTGAAACGCGGATGCCGGTGAATTATACAGGCGTCGCGAAAAGGAGGACGACTCGCTGGAGTTTCGGGGATTACGCAGGGTGTGAGTAATTTCAAAATTCAGTGGTGCGTGCGGAATATGCGAAAGCCATTTTCTACGCGAGCTTCCGCGGTTTTTCCCGCCCCAAAACGAGTTGCCGTGATTTTTTTCGCAGAATTACGTACGTACGTCCCGCACTGTTTTCCAGAAACGGCATTGCACGTGGCACGATGTAGCGCAACGAGTGCCGCAACGAAGTCGTATTGTCGCGCGATAATTATACCGTCTTTTTCGTTTGCGTTAAAAACAGTTTGTCTCATTTACACACCGTATATTTTATTATTCCGGCAGCTCCGCAGGGGAAGAGTCGCGAATTATTCCTACATCTTCCGCGTGATATCTCGTATTTTCTTATAATCCTCGCCAGTTTCGCGTCTCGCTGGATGCGAGAACATGGTGCTTCTCGAGGAAAGGAAGATTTTATGAATGCATCCGAGGAACCAAATGACGCCTCCGCAGACGTACATGCACACGTAGACGCGAGTTCACTTAAAGGCGCGCAGTGCATTGTGCGAGAATGTCTGGGCTTTCGAACAGGCTGCTTTTGACCAACGCATTACCCGCGCACTTATTCAACGCCCATTAAACTCTCTCTATGAAAGCACGCTGGAAACCACGATTTAAAACCCTTCCATCAAGGATCGTCGGGGAGAAGAGAAAGTTCTAGCCAACGGTCCGAGATATAAAACCATCCCGAGATAAGACCCCAATTATTTGCGTCCAATTCTCAGAGATAAAATTATCGTGAGAAACCCCGGCCCACCGAAGGTGCCAATAAAACGGCTCTGTCCCAACTCTCCCCTTAACCCCGGGTTTTCCATTCTTTTCCTCCCCTAATTACGTCGCGAAAAAGGGGAAGCAGTCTCGGCTTCTCTGATCGAGTGGGCAAGAAGGTCCATTTTTACCTGCCCGGCTTTATCTCGCCCGTGAAGTTTCACCAAACGGAACGGTTCACAGGTGTTCCGGGAGTCTGGGCGAAAAAGTAGCCCCAAAGACCTTAACGGCCAGCTCGTAAACAAGTCCCGCCCCTGCGCGCGAACCCGTTAGCATCCCTTCGCCCGTTTCATTGTTCTCACGTCCCGTTTCCATGTTACGAGCCACGCACGAGGATATCCGGCTCCAGGACCAACTTTATCCGCGCACCGGATGGATTCAATGGCCCCCGATTGGCGGCTGACGCGTGACTGCCGTCTCCAGCTGCTCCCCCAGCTCGAAAATCGATCAAACTGCACGTGTCCTTTGATCTCCATAGGACCCAGTTCATGGAGTCGAGAATGCGTGAATTATACTATCGGGAGCAAGAAACGCGACGTAGATCACGTTGCCGATGACGTTCGGGGGTGAGATTGGGGTAGATTCGAATTTCGAGGAATGTCACGTCTTTGCGTGGTGGAAATCACGTCATACCTTATCTCGTCGAATTTTTAATCTTGCACGTGACCTTTGATCTCCATGGATCTAGTTCATGGAGTCGAGAATGCGTGAATTATAGGACCGAGATCAAAAAGCAGGACGTAGATCACGTTACGGATGACGTTCGGGGGTGAGATTGGGGTAGATTCGAATTTCGAGGTATATCACGTCTTCGCGTACTAAAAATCACGTCATACTTTGCCTCATAGAATTTTTAATCGAGATACAGGTTGCTACAATTCTGTTCTAAGCGATATCCGAATGATAGCTAAATGATTGCCTATAGTTCGTTGATTTAAACCTCTAGATAATCCCGTGAAATTAGTATCGAGCTACTAATGAACGAGGAAGTTCGATCGAGCATAAAATTTCAGATTTAAATTTCAGAGTTGGATTACAAGGTGAAACAATATTTGAGGAACGATTTTATCCACTTTAGGAATTTGCCTCTTTTCCCTTTATTTCTGGAGTGAAATCCATTCGCCGTGATCCAATTTAACGGATTGAATTAATCGTAGCTCTCGAGGAATTCTTAATTTATCTCGGTTTGATTCATTCTCGTTAGCCTGGCGATCGAGGGAACAATAAGGTAGCGAGTAAAAGGGATGGCGTGCAAGGTAGCAAGGTACCCAAACGAGCTTTCTGCGTGGACTCGCCCTAATGGCCACGAGGAACACCGCGTCACGAGCAAACGAGCCATCGAGGTACCAAACATAGGATCCTCGTTACGGAAACTTTTCCCATTTACACAGAAAGGCCTGTCGATGAGTTGGTCGTGGAAATAGCGACAAGTGCCGGGAAAGTTTCGTATATTTTATACCAACTTCCACTGCAGCTTGATTAGCATCTCTGAAAGCTTATGGCCATTGTCGCAACTGTAACGCGGACTTGTTTCGTGCAAAAATTTATCTCCCTTTGAAATTGCGAAGCCTTCAACTCATACGCGTGAATAGAACTAGAACGAGTCACCAACACGATTGTCAGAGTTATAAGTAAGACGAAGATTAACATCCTAGTTTGTCCAAGATATATAGTCTATAGTACTGTAAGCGATCTTAGAACAGACGGCGTAAACAGTTAGGCGACAGGCAGAATCTCCGACTGTTTAGGTTTAAAACACTTGAACCCATAGATGGCGAGACGATCGGCCGAGGGGTGTCGAACCTTCTCGAACCGAAGGACCGCCAGTAAAATAAAGACCTTTGACGAAGAAAGTCTTCTGTACCACTAGCCCTATCTCCTTATCCTTCTGGTACAGTACGAATAAAAATGTGAAATTTGATTTGTAAAAATTGACTCACCGGTGGGGCTCGGTGTCAGCGACTGCGTATCAACTTTCACGTGGATGTCGTAATGCTGGAAAAGTCCAAGTTTCCTTGCTCTCGAGCTCTTCTGCAACGTACTCATAGCCGACGTCACTGCCTTCGTGTACTCCCTCACGCCAAAGGACTTGTGCGGAACCATCATGCCCACCTGTTACACAGAAAAAGATCAATTAGAGCGGGAACTGGGATCGACTCTTCGGAAAATTATGTCTCTATCGGGGAGCCTCGAGTTTCAGCGAAACGATGCAGGTACCTAATTGACGATAGGACTCTGTTCGACTATCGTCCACTTTGTTCCTCACGAAACTTTGTTAATTGCACGAAAGGTGTTCAAAGTTTGCCGACAGACGACGATAAACTGTTCGAGCAAAAAGAGCATGTATTATCGATCATTAATTTCGCACACAGTCACCGATCGTGAAATTCTCCTCGAAATTTCTCCTGAACTTTACCAACAACTCCTGGTAATTCTGCTCCAAGCAGACCTTTTCCATTCTCGAGAGACGAAACTTGCTATGAGATTTAAATTGACAAACTCGTGGCGAAATTTTCATTAAAGGCAGATAATAGCAATAGCGCGATGATCAGCGACACTTTGTCCTCCCGATTCGTTGCTCAAAGACGAGAACGGGCAAGTATTACGCATTCAAACGAACGAAAAAGTGCATCTAGAGTGTTCACTTTGTTACGACGAGAATGGATCAGCGAGCACCTGTTGCGCAAATCGATCGGGCCAGATGAATGGTACGCAGCCAGAGAACGGACAGGAAGTTACGTTTCTGCCTACCATCTTGTAAATTTTCTGCAATCCAATTCTCTACGTCCAAAATGAACAACAAAAAACTTGGGTATTCGACTATCTTGAACTGTACCTTGAGTTTCATTTTGGATTTCTATTCGCATTTGCATAGACATCCAATAATTTATCATTTTATTATTTATCAAACGAGGATTCTCGCTAGAGACCTCTAATGTTAGGTATAATTTCATTACTATGACAAGAGTAACTCGTCTCTATCTGCTTTGGTATGGAAAAGAAGAAGCCCTTTAGAAGAAGCTAGACTCGTCATTACAGATCCAGAGATTAATTTTTATCTACAATCTATGTACCACGAGTCGTTTGCATAAAACTTCGGATATTTTCACAGGTAGATAATCATACAAAGATCGTATGGATCCGTGTATTGAAGAATACACAGACTTAAACACGGTTTTCAGGTGAACTACACGAAATGGAAGTCCCTATGTCTTCCCTCAAATATAAATAAATAAATAAATAAATAAATAAATGTAATAACGCCAAGTTGAGGGACAGTCCTGCGGGTGAGTGTATAGAAGACGTGAAAAAGACGGTGCAGCGTGAGAGGATAGCAAAGTGTGAAGATAGTGTGAACATTAGTCGATAATCTATTAGTTTGTAACTCACTTTAATCTCTCAGCTCGTAAATAAATCTATACACCGGAAATTAATAACACCTTTATTTCCGTGTTTGCCAATCGGAACACATATCTGTAATCGGTCGAGGAGTGTCAAACCTTCTCGAGCCGAAGGACCGTCGGTAAAATAAAGACCTTTGACGAAGAAAGTCTTCTGGACCACTAGCCCTATCTTCTTATCCGTCCGCTACACATCCTTAGATAAATAAATAAATAAATAAGAGTAACTTCTGTCATACGTTGTAACGAGAGACGTTAGGTAAAAGTTGTGTAATATAGATGACTACCCGATACCACGATCATGGATCTTAAAAATGTTCAACGACCGCTTCAGCAGCTGCGTTCTACAAGTTGAAAACTCGAACCGATCGAGGCTAAGTTTCGAAAAGTTGCTGGCTCTCCGCGAAGAGGAGATCTCTCTCCACGCTTTCTCCTTGTGAAATATATGGTTAATTAGAAATGTAAATCATCCGCTTTACAATTAAACATCGCGACCCAGTTCCGCTGGAAGCGCGCCGCCATAATTGCCGCCGTTTTCGCGGCAGTTTAACTTAATGCCTTAAAAATTGGGTTTCTCCTTTTACTTTCTCCGCTTCTTCGTATTTTTGCTGTATTATTTCAGCCTCTCCCCCTTCGTCCAGTTTCTTTTCATCCCTCTCCGTCTCTTCTATCCGCTCCATCTCTCCATCCTCAATTCCTGCCCCTTCCTCCACGCGTTTTTACCACCCTCGCCGTTTCTTTTCATCTCCTTTATCTCCTTTTTACCCATTTTTCGTTCCCTACTTGCGCGCCGTTTTTCCCACCACTCGTGACTCGAATTCTCCCATTTTCCTTCCCTTTCCTCCGCGTCGCGGAGTTTCACTCTCCCTTCTCGTTCACGCTAATTCTCGTTAGCATTCCTCAGCTCGAGTCTGTTTCCAGCTTGTTTCTGCGACTGACACGCCTGCTATAACGCACTTCGTACACTCCATTACGCTCACTTTGTCCCGCGAAATTCGATTTAATTTCCTGCCTGAAATATCCTTGCACAGGTACAATCTCCACGAATAACCGCGCGCAAAGCGAATTAAGAACCGAACGATTCGTGTTAAAGGTAACATCTGTAGCGACCAAGTTCTCACCCTCGCCAATAGGTGGATTCCGACTTGAAGGAGGTTCGAGGACTTTATCAAAAGGAAACGGTGAAGCCTCGACTTCCCTTAAATAGAAGTTCCCGTAACATCTAAGTATCCCTGATCTAAGGCAGGACCTGATAGAAGCAAGCCTTACCGATGAGTCCACTAGCAGGCCCGGGACAAAACTCATCCCTTCCTTTTCCCGTCGTCCTTCTACCTGCTAACCCATCGATAGCAACGACGACCACGGGGATACTACCAGGCCCAACACCACAGGAACAACTGCTCATCGTCAACAGGAACAAAGAAGACACCACCGTAGTTAGCCAACCTCTCCCTTGAACACGGAATATTGGCAATGGGGTATTTACTGTAAATACTTTCGTCCCTACACATCGAACACCTTCAGAACTCTGTCAATTTCTCCTATCTTAGAAAAAGCCCGAAGGAGTGAACTACTATAAAACAAATTAGGCTGAATTTGAATGGTCCTTGGTCCACGACTTGGTAAGGACCGATGAGTAGCCATAGAAAACATTACACCGACGAAATAATTATTTGTTAATTTTAATAAAGCGTTAAAGAAGTGTCCAAAGCCTTTAATCGAAGCTTCCAAAACCTTCTCGCAGTCCTCTCACGCCATATATAATTTTCTCCGAATTTTAAGCGCAGAATGGTCTCCCAGCGTTCGCGTTTTTAAAAGAAATTGCTCCGCAAGGTAGAATTGAACCATCCATTAGCAGACCACACGGAGATTCGCACTCGAGGAAATTCTCAGGGAGTTTTCACCGAAAATGCTTCGATTGTCCCAGGAAAATCGTACGATCGTCTGTGTCGGAGGAACGAAACGATAGATCGGGATAGAGGCAGGTATATCGTCACGTCGAACGCTGTCTGGCAGTGGAAAGTGTGCATTACGATGATTAAACGTCAGCCGGAGGGCTGATCGAGAGCGATAGTCCTCGGCGGCGAAAATGGAGAGTAATGGCGACCGCAACGCGGAACGGAATAATTACTCGGGGGAGTCGGCGCGTTTAAAGCGATTAACACGGCGAGCTGTACCCCGCGGAAGAAGTTCGTAATTATCGCAGGGATAATATTTCAGCCGACAGCCTAGCGAATTGAAAAAAGATCCGCGCGAAACGGCTGTCACTGTCGTGTAATTAGCGGATAACGCGTCGGCCATTGTTCCTCGAGGATTGAATTAATTCGATGAAATCGTAGCGGAGAGAACTGTGCGGGAAACCGGGAATCTATCAGATTATCTCGCCATTACGATATTTTACCCTCTAGCGTTGGATTTTAATTAACGACGTCGACATCGAGATTAAACCCTTGTATTATTATTATCCGGGAACTTTGACGCTTTGTTTCTCGATTTTCTGTCGTGGGATTTTCAACGATGCAATGGCTCATTGTAATTGCAGACTCAGAATACCGACTATCTTAAATCCCGGAGGGGCCCTCAATTTGGACAGTCACGAAGTCTCTTCAAATCCCGGATGGGACCCCAAATATAAAGACCAAATAGAGAGGAAAGTATCAGCTTGGGAAGTACACGCATGCAACGCAACACTGTTTTTGGTTAATAAAAATGAGGTAGAGGCTTGGGTGGTGGTAAATAGAACTCCTATTTATTAAATAACAATAATAATAATAAATGATTAACAATATCGTTGCTAATCTCTGCCAATCGCTCACGAACATAGGAACTACCATCGATAGCGCGCACTGGGGCTGTACTAGAAGGGAGCAGAGGGTGCTCATTAGACACGATGATTGGTAATTGGAATTTTATGAGTATCAGTTAATCAGTGTCCATCCGACAATCTGCTTTAATACTAGATTTGCGAACGCTATCTGTATACCTATTTCTAAGGACACTTGTCAAATTGACAGGTAAAGGGAACCACGTGCTTTTTCTTAACGATTAGTTTAATTTAAAAAGAATTATATATTATATTGTAGAGACTTGGGTGGTGGTAAATAGAACTACTATTAATTAACAATAATTATAATAAGTGATTAACAATACGTGGGTGACGATTAAGCATACGAATCTATATCGACTACAACTTAAGACTACAACTCAACTCAACAACGCAAAGACAATTTAGCCTGTTACGACTAATGGCTCACAACTAAAACACAACTAAGAACAATCACTTCTCACTAACCACTTCTACCCTCTCTTATATCTTCTCCAAAAGCCTCCCCCAACATGACAAAATATGGTCGTGCTAAGAGCCTGACGCATCGCATCATCTCCCTAAGCTAAAGTTACCTATACACGAGGTGCAAATCCTGCGATACTACAATGATAATACATATGTAAAAATAAAAGATCATGATGATAATCCTTCAACTAAGAACAATCACTTCTCACTAACCACTTCTACCCTCTCTTATATCTTCTCCAAAAGCCTTCCCCAACATGACAACATATAGTCATGCTAAGGGCTTGCTGACGCATCGCATCATCTCCCTAAGCTAAAGTTACCCATACACGAGGTGCAAATCCTGCGATACTACAATGATAATGCATATGTAAAAATAAAAGACCATGATGATAATCCAAAAGTTAATCTAATTCAGTTTCTAATAACTCAACGCAATGCTAATGCGACTCAAACACAACTCAACTAACCACTCTCTAATCTCAACTCTGACACATTGACACCTATGATCCTAATTAAGGTCCTACTGCAATTCGATTCGTGCGAATTAAAATTCTATCCAGAGCTTTCCTGATGTATTTTAATACTTGGTATAGCATAAAAGAATTTTAATGCACCTTGAGATGAAGAGGGTTTTAGTCTACCCTTATTTAAATAGTCCTTTGAAATTTTAAAGTAGAACCTCGATATTTTCTTAAATCGAGCTCGTCGCTCCCATTTCTTGGACTTGTATCAATTTCGAGTGACTTCTCTCAAGGCTCCATTAAACTTCGCGCGCATCAAACTCGAGGGGTAATTTCATCCCCTAGATTTTAACATCGATTCACCGAATTTCACCATTTTCGAGTGTGCCTTTTAAAATGTTCTTCCGAGACTGTAACAACTTCGCGATTTAAATGTACCTTTACGAATATCTGTAACCGAATGGGTTCGTGGAAATCGTTGTTTGTCAAATGAAATTGATTCTTCTGGAACTGAGAGACTCCGTGTTTCGAAGATCCAGCGAATCCGCATCTTAGTGCCTGGAAACGTTGAATTTTTTATCGTTTCTTGCTCGGAAAGGGACTAAAGTCGTTTGGAGACTCGAATGGAGATGGCAGGAGAAAAAGGGGGAAATCGCTTATAGCGTGGAGAGATCCGTCTTCGGGCAGGAATTCTAGCTGCGGAATGTTGTCCTGATTACTGCAGTTCAAACTATTCGTAGAAGAAAATTATCGGGGATACCGGGGACGAGCAGAAACGTAGGAAGGAACGGGGTCATCTAATTTTATCGTTCCAAGTGTTCTTCGATTTGCGCAGCTAAGAACCCGTAAATGGAACGCGGGCTAATATAATTATTCGCCCTTTGGAAAGTCGACGATCATGAAGCAGAACATTAGAAATGGAAGATCCATTAAAACCGGGAATAAGAGAAACGAAAAGTTTCCCTATTCCGGGAAATTCGCGAGTTTTTTGAAATCGTAGAAGAAAGGGAATAATTGGAGCGAGAATAATTCAGGTCTTCGCGGTAAAATTAATTCGATGTTCGGAGAACTAGATTTTGATCGAAAATAATTCGTACGTCGTGTTTGCGAAGGAATTTACTTCGTAGAATCCGCAAAGTGACAGAAAAGTAATCAGTCTCGAGTTAATCCAACGTGTAAATCAGTTGCATCGTCCTCGTGCAAAGAACCATACTCTCGCGAGGACCGAGAGAATCCCACCTCCAAGACACCCGAATCCAAAGTCTCGTTACGTAACTACTTTCTTTGCAACTTACGTTTACAGTTTCGTTAGGAGGTCCAATTTCGAGACTATTTCCACTCGAACTTCTCTATCCTGAATTAATCCAAGTCTCGCGAATTCTCCGAATTAACGAGATAATCTATTTTAATTATTAAATCTATCATAATCTGAATTATTCCTATCCGGGAAACAAATGAACAAAATTCCCTATCATCGAGTCCGTCAAATTCCCCGAAACAACCCTGGTACAACGGCGCAAAATAGTGTGGTATCGCAGGATAATAAGCTTGAGTTTGGCTCGAGCGTATTATCTGGAGTGCATGCGAAAGGATGAATGACCCTGTGCTAAGATCGCGTAGACGGGATGTTTATGGATGCATCGGTTGCAAGTGAAGAGTGTTTCTAGGAATGCGTCTAAGTATTTGGGCTACGTGACCCGCTGAGGGCAAGGCTGTAAGGGGTGCGTGGGAAAAGCGTGATTAGGAAAGAGAGCATGGGTATGAAATAGGGATGCATGGGCGTGAAGCGAACAGTTATATTGGAACAGTTCTTGCGTAGAATTTTGAGGAAGAGTGACTAGAAGAGAGTTGTATTTTAGTTGTAACAAGTCGAGTTGTAACTGTGTTGCCAAATTGTAGTTGTAGTTGATCTATCCATATTCGTCTGCTTTATCGTCACCAAACATTGTCAATTCATTATTATTAATTAATAAATAAAGTACTATTATTTACCACCACCATAGTCTCTACGATAGCCTCTAAAATTTCGTCTTCCTATTCGGCGACTTTGCTGAATTCGAAACATGCAAATGAACGACGCTAACGACGCACTCTTCGAGAGTCTCCAATGGTATCGAAATTTATAATAATATAGAAAATTTATAAACTCTACGCTATTTGAATTGCAGCCGTGACAATCGCGCCCAAGGCTCCGACGATCGAGAAAATTTCCATTAGAGAAATGGCACTTACCTTCAAGGCACCCCTGCCATTGCCATTCGGCGGGTGGATGAATCGCGTGGTGGGTGGTGGCGGGGTGGTGGTGGTGGTGGTGAACGGTCTCTGCCTCGTAGAATTGGGAAATCTCGCCTCGCCGAGCTTCACGCCGGAATGGCCGCGTCCACCGAGCACTCCGGTGCCCTTCGCGTGGCCACGGTCGCTGGTACCGATCTGGATGCCGCTGCCACCCCTGGTCACGCCGCCGATCTGCAGGCTGCCAGCCACCGACAGCAGCGACACCAACGTGAACAGCAGCTCCCTCATTTTCTCGCCGCACTTCCGGTACGCCTGTTAGGGGCTCGAGCCAGCCCTTTCGCGCTTCTGTCGTCCCCTTGCCTCGCTTCTCTCGCGCGACCTGCTTCCATTCAGCGGTGCAGGCGGCTCAGTCGCGACGCGATGCTGTTTTCGCGTCCGACCGGGCATCTCTTGCCCTTTCACGACCCCTCATCGCGCGCCGGCAACCCTGAAACGGAGATTAACTCGGGTCAGAGCTTGGATTTCGGCACGCTGTTTTGGAACATTTATGCGCGCCAAGGTTCTAATTGCCAGTCTTCACGGGGTTGCTTTGAATATGAAGAGATAGGGATGTTTCGGTGCTTCTACGAATCGCCTAATTACTCTCCGAGTTACGCGCCCGATGTTCCAGGTAAGTAGTCGAAATCTTTTCGAAATGATTTGTCTTTGACAGCGCATGGCTGTTTCTGACGAAATTAATACCCAATTTTACGCACGTAAAGATATAATTGTCTATAACCTGAGTATCTCTAAAGCTTCGAGAACTAAAAATAATAATGACGTATAGTTATACGTCTTCGTCCTACCACTGCAATTATTATGACTCATGCAGCATAGGTTAAACCCTCAGTTATAAATCGGAAGTCCTAGCGATAAATTCAATTTGGATTAGTTTATATTCCTGAACCTCAAGTTCAAGCTCAGTAATGCAGGCTAAAAAAGAATTCCCAAGTGCGAGTGAAAATTCGTGAAAGGAGACGAAGAGGTAGACCGAAAGGGAAAATCCTTTCAACGCCGTATCTGGGTTAGTCGTTAATTAATTACCGATACGAATCTAATAAAATCTTTCCACTCTACCTCTGACTTCTGCGATCTATAAAGGCGAAAGAAAGGTCGACGATGCTCGATTTTCGTATCTCAGGTTCCAAGTTATATAATAAATCTAGTCCCTGACTTTCTCTTTGCACACCAACTGGACATCGATGGTCTCATCTGGAAGAGGAATTATATCTCGTTTGAGCGAGTTTGATGCTAATTAATTGCTCGAGATGGACCTATCCGACGATATTAAATTTTCATGGGGCAGTAAAACGGTACATGCAAATTACATGGACCCATTACTACGCGATATACGTAATGCGGAATTTGATTCGCGAAAAGGGGCGAGGGTACCCTGGAAAATTGCCACGCGAATCCTAACATAGCCACGTGGCCATGGAATATTACGAGTTCCGTCGAACTCGCGGAGGATGAGCGAAGTGATTACCATTTAAGCCGCCAAAGCACACACCTGGGTACCCTGTCGCTGAACTACACCCCGTACCTGAGATTCGATCTAAGATTTTACCAGGCGAAGGATTTAACATCTTGGCCTACAACCACGTGTGAGGTTCGTGGTCAAGATTTCCAGCCAAAACTACGTGGTACATCGGTTGGGCCAAAACTGACTATCACGGGCCTGGCACGTGGTACATCGCCAGGGCCAAATGTAAATATCAGGTGTCACACCCATAAGTTGTTGTACAACTAAAGGCAGATTTGCCGAGTGGTGGAACGACTCGAAGGCTCGCCAGTTCTGTTTAAGTTCTAGGATCACGCTGTTGAATCTTAAATCGCGAGAAAAGGAGTTAAGCAGCAATTACGGCTAATATCGCGTCAGGGATAATCGTTAATATCGCCTTATCTTTCAGAGAGTAATTACCGAGAATAATTACTTTAGCTGACATAATTACCCCTATTATTTGTCTGCTAATTCGCGTTATTCCGAATCGATTCTGCGAGCATATTCCGCTTTTTAACGCGGCAGCGATGACAGAATATGATTGTTTAGGAAAATTAATGAGCAATTCGGAAAATCGCCAGTGGAATATTAATAGTTCGCAGTGAAGAACGTGCGCGTTCAACGCGAAGCTCGCAAAGTGGATTTTGAACAATGATTCTCAGGATAAATGTAGAAGGTGGGGCCAGTGTTTGGGTCACTTTTTAGCGCGGGGAGATTAGAGTTTCTTTCGAGCACGTGTCGGAATGTGATACACGAGAGAGCCATAATCGGACCTGTCTGTGCTCGAGTTTGTCTTCTCGCGTAATCTCTGAGGATCGTGGATGCTGCTTTCGCAAGCAGGCGATAACGCGTTATGCCGGGGATATAGGAAATACGGTGAATACAAAAATAAGGGAAAATGGAGGCAACGTGCACCGTTTGAATAGCAGATGCTCGCGTGTTTTCTCAATGAAACTTCCCATCGATTTTAATATTTCACGAATCGAATATGTCCGCAATGGGCACGTTTCTTCCACGCTCCTTTGCTAAATGCTCGTAAAAACTCTCCCGTTGTTCTCTCTGCCCGCTGCATTCATTGCACTCGGCGCTCACAAAGCGCTGAATACCCTTAAGAACCTACTCCACACACGTGCACTCACTCGGGCTACTCATTCTCGAGCACACACACTTCCAAGAACATTATTTTTCAAACAACTCGTTTACTTTTGGTACGCGGTACCTTCTCGTGCTTAAATTCCGTATTTATAGCGTAATCGCGTTATTACGCGAATAACAAAACGGCTTTATGTCTCGCAAATGTTGCACTCGTTTGCTGCATTCGCGAGCAACGTAGCAAACTTCATTTAACATTCGTCATTTATGATGTTCTCTGAAAACGTAATCATATATTCCCTACAACGCGGATTCATTACAGCTTTATTTATGCGTCCGTTGTATCTTAATTATTTATACCCGGTAACAAAATATTCGATCGTATATCTCTTTCGCTTCAACGGAAATTGTCAAACATTCGCTCATTTTCCATATTTAATTAATACAAATGTTTCTTTCACATCGAGAGAATCTGTTGGAACAAAATACGAGAAATGTATCCGATTTCAAAATTTCTTTCTTTCGTATATACGTTGTTCGGGTTTCAAAGAATCATTGCGAAAATATGAAAAATCGTCGAGACAATGTCCACGAATTTTGATTAATTACTCGAAAATATCCTGTCCAGAAAATCACGTCCAGCGAGTGCAAGATATTTCTAATTCGTTCGTCTCTCACGAACGAGGATCTTAATTACGGTCGGGTCCAATTTCACACTACCCTTCGCTAAGACGATCCTAATTTGAGCAGCGACAAATAGCGGCAAAGCCTGTTTGAAGGTAGTTAATTACCAGATTAGCGGTGCTGTTTCAAGGTTACGGTCTGCACACCCGCAAGCTTCATCGTGAGTCAGAAATTTACGCTCGAGAACGACAAACGGAAACCGAGAACGCGGTCGCGGTTCTCTCGGGATTGCGCGTCAAACGGGGCTAGTTACTGCGAAACAATTGGTCGGTCGCTTTACCATAATTATCTAGATGGTGCACACGTTGGACGACCATGACGGAGAATGTAATTAATAAAGGAGTGGCGTGTCGCGAGAGGTATTCAAACGCGATCCTGGCTTGGAAGCTTCTCACCGCGTCAGCGCCAGCCATTTTCAACGTATGGTCGTGCTTTTTTCTCTCCAACCGCGGTGTGTAGGCGTCATGAACACGGAGAAAAGCCGCTTAAATAATAATCCACTGATACGATATTTTAACGCGATTAACTTCCAGCTTCTTTCACGCGATTAACCCCCTAAGCTTCACGGCTCGCTGTTAAAATCCGCTCCAGGATGGTACCGATTTTTCCAGACACTGCGAACGGCGTGACTACTGGAACACTGCATCGGGAAACGAGTAAACCGTGTGACAGATATCGTATGTAAATACTGGTGTAAAAGCTCGAAGATTGTAGAAGCCGAAAATCATTTATCGCAGAAGTGGTAGCTTCGAAAGAAAATTCTAAAATTTCAGGAAAATGCTAAGATTCGTTGATATTCGTTGATAAAAATCGGAATATTAAATGGAAAAATCATCGTTTTACCATAGTCCATTTTTTTAAGTAAAATTACTTTAATAGAAGAGCATGGAAATATCATTTCGCGCGTTACTTCTCCCGGAACAAGGGTAATGCGTTTAAAAGGGGAAAAAACGGCGGAGTTAATTGCGGATCCTCGATACGAGAGCGATCTAGCCAGGATCGGGAATTTTCAACGGAGCCGTAATATTCGATGATTCGATATGCAAATGTATTCTCGATTTTATCCGCCCCAGTTACGCGTTGCGCGAAGGTGGCTGGCGCATTCGCGGAAAATGCCCTCGTGCTATTATAAAAAAGGGAGAAGAGGAGAGAACGAAAATTAATTCCGGGTTTTCGAGTCGGTATTAAGTGTTTCTACCACTTGAATTACCATTCGCTGGCCGAACCCTTCTTCCGCGAGTTTTTCCCTTTACGCTTAACGGCACACGGGAGGGAAACAAAAGCGCCGGGTTGATAACGATTATGTTCGGGCACAAGAACAGAAGTTAATGTTCAGGAGTCTCTAGTCGAAATTAAATTATTCCAATTTCACACCTTTTAATCTGTTTTCTTTCCCCAAGTGCCTGAGATTCCTTTGGAATCGCGTTTAATGATACGCTAATTAAAGGGGAAAATACGATAATGGTATATAAATTGAATTTGAACCTTTTGAGGAAAATTAAACTTATTTTTCCCTTCTTCCTGATTCCTCGAAAACCACGTGCTCGTGTACATGACCTAAAGATGTAACTACGAATACGCGTGATAATGGTTACATAGATTTTTAGGTACATATGTGTTGGGATGAGTGGAACAAGTATGCATGGGATGGAAATATTTAACGAATTCAGGTTATTGTGATAAATGAGTATGCGTGTAATGATTGGGGTGTTGCGTGAATTGTGTATGTCAATGTAATGTATGAAAGAAGAAAGAAAAAAAGAGAGTGATTTGACATACGTTAGGTGCAATTGATTATTAACCCTTTGACTCTCAGTCACCATTTAATCAGATTCTAAAGATCGACGTTAATTAATATATCAAATTTAAAATTACCTACCGATGTATGGAATGTCGAAGAAGAATAATTCTACGTCTTAATTTGCATACGATTTCTCATTTACCATTTAAAAAATATCGTCGATTCTATGAC